AAAGATAGTTTTTTTTTCTTTAAAATAAACCCCTTTTTTTTTTTTTTTTTTTTTTTTTTTTTAAATAGTGGCAAAGGGTTCTTACATGCTGGGCTAGTCTCAACGTTTTTTTTTTTGTTTTGTTTTTAAACTTCATTGAAACGTGGTGGCCGAGCAATGCACACACGCTTTGGAGCAAATGCCGCCCTCGTATTAATTTTTTTTTCTTTTTAGGCTTATGATTAATGAGTTAAATTTATTGGCCAGCTGCCCTCTATAATCATGAATGAGCTCCTAAAAAAAAATAAAAGAGGAGGGGGAGAGGGGGAGGAATATTTTATCTTATCCTAGGCCTCCCTCCCTCTTTCCCAAAGAAATATATTTTCTATCACGGTGAGTTAGCCAGAAAGATCAATCTCCCTTAAAAAAAAATCTGTAAAATTAGGAAGAATAATATTTACCTATCTTGCAAGGTTTCCTGGCAGCTTTTATTTTTGCAATGTCGCCTGAGACAAAATTTTCCCCCCTCTTTTTTTTTTTTTTCTTGTTTGTTTGTTTGGAGGGGGGATCAAAGCAGCAAGAGGAGCAACTCCCCTTAGTTCTGACCTGGCGTTTTAAAACTTACTGCATGTCCCCAAACTCCCCCACCCGCTCCAAAAGAGGGAAAAAAAAAAAAAAAAAAAGAACGGTGCTCCACAACTGTCAGGAAAAGCACAAAATCAGACCTTTTATTTTTCCCTCCCCCTCTATTTTTTAAAGTCGACTCGGGGAGGACAAGAGAGGCTCCCGCGGAGGGGAGGCGAGGGGCCAGACAAGCGCCTGAGTGATAACTTGCCTGAACCCTTTGATAAATGAGTTGACTCTTTTTTTTTTTTTTCCTCCTTTTTCCTCCCCTTTTCTCCCCCCCCTCCTCCTCCTTCATTCGCCGCGCGCCAGGAACAGAATTGGCCCCGAACTAGTGGAATTGGCAGCAAAAAAACTAACATACAAGTGTGTCTGGTCAATAGAGCGCTTGTTCCTGCCTGTGGGCGCTCGGGCCGCGCTGCGCCGCGAAGTTGGGCGCTGCGGGGACGCCGAGGACTCTTTCTCCCCTCCTTTCTCTCTGCTTTTTTTTTCTCTTTTATTTTAAATATTCATCAATGGGGTGGGTTTGCTCCAGTCATTAAACCCTGTCTCCCCTCCCCCTCGCTCTCTCCAGGGCTGGTGCGTGTGCGGGACTATGAATCAGCAGCAGCAGCAGCAGAGAATGGCTGCGGTCGGGACGGACAAAGAGCTCAGTGACCTGCTGGACTTCAGCATGGTAAGCGAGCGCCGCCGGGGGCTTTGCAGCGCCCGGGGGCTTTGCTGGCTTTGTGGTGTGCGTTTTTTTGATTTTGGGAGGAAACGGCAGCCTGGAAATGGGCCGCCCATGATGGCTTTCAGATGTGCCGGGTGTTTGTGTGCGGGCACATGTGCTGCAACTTGTTTATTTTCAAGTCGAAGCGAAGGCGCTGCCCCTCCTCTGCGCTCCCCCCTGCCCGCCGGCGCACACCGTTTCCTTGCAGTCGGTGCACAGAGCTCTGGGGTTTTTTGTCTTCTTGTTTTTGCTCTGTGGGGTTGTGGGGAGCTGGGAAGTTCTCTGGAGATGTAACACAGTGTAAATGCTCGTGGCGAAATGCGACCCCATGATGCAGAAGGGAAGCCAGGGATACAAAACTACTGCGAATATGGGACCCAAGTTAAAGCTGACTCATTAGGGTGGTGGGAGTTTTTTTCCCTCTTCTCACAGCCAGACTGTTAAACTTTTGCTCCTGCAGGTTATTCTAGAGTGGTTGGAAACTTGTCCAAGCTCTTCAGTGCATTATTTTTGCAGGAGTTGGACACTTTTGTGCCCTGCTTTCTGCTCGTCTCATCCTGGCAAACCTTTAGTTGCACTGAAACCAACAGAACCTAAGAGTTTCCCTGCCAAAGTTCGTTGAGCTCAGAGGGAAGAGGAGTCCCCTCTTACCCCTGCAAGGGCCAGTCCTTAGCGTGCCCGCGTTGGTGGCCGCGGAGCCGGCGGTGGCTGCAGGTGACCTGCTGCAAAGGGGCGCTTCTGTCCTCAGAGCCGCTTCCCGCTCGGCTCCTGCGGCGCCCGCCCGGCTCCACGCGTCTGCTCCGCAGATAAGCAACCGCCCGGCCGAGATAGAGCCCGCGGCTCCGCCAGGAGGAGCAGCCCGGCGGGCCGGGGAGAAGGGGCAGCGCAGCCCGGGGCCCCCGCGCTCCTCCTGCCGCAGTCCGGCAGCTTCTGCCCTTCGTGGTGGGGCCTCCTGATCCCGCTGCTGAGAGGAAGGGTGAATTCTTCTGGCTTCAGCTTCCGTGGAGAAGTTGGTTCCCTTAGGTTAACAGCAACGTGCGTGTTTGTCTAGGCGTTTTTAAAAGCCGTGTGTTTTGCAGGTGGTGGAGGGCCTGTGCTGGCAGGAGGCTTTTAACGCAGCCGCGTGCAGGTTTGCCAGGCGCCGCGCGTGGTGGCTGCCCCGCTCCCGCGCTGCTCTGACTCCTGTCCTGGTTTTTCTGCTCCTCTGAGAGGAAAGAAACAAAGGAAAATAATCCAATCCCACTCACTGTTTAGAGCTTTTTTTTTTTAAAAAAAATTATTTTCAAAATTAACGACCCGTCCTCATTTGCATGCCTGCAGAGTTGTGTTCCCGAGGGAGGTCCTGACCTGTTCCCTCTCTACACGAACGTTTCTGTTCTTGGAGGTTAATCTGCAGCTCATGGTCGAATTTGGGTTCGATTCCAGCTCTTTTATGTCGGTGAAAACCTGGAGAAGGCCCAGAATTTGTCCTGTCTTCAGCAGCAGCAGCGCCGGGGGCGGCTGCTCGCCGGATCAGGGCCTGCAAAGGGCCTTTGCCAGCGAGTGCCTCGCAGACGGTCCCTGCAGGAGGAATTGCCCGATGGGCTCCGGCGCGGGCTGGGCGTTTGCCAGCCCTGCTTCCCCAGCCCTCCCCTGCACGCACGCAGCCCCTCTCCCGCGCTGGCACGAAGGGAACGCTGACCTCGCTCCGCGACGGCGCGGGTTGGGAATGTCGGCCAGGCACGGCAGCCCTGCGGCACCGGGATGAAGGCTCTGCCACCACGAAAGTCTCTGTCGAGTGTATTTATATTTTTATTTGAATAAGTGGGAGTAGGGCACTGGGTCCTCTTCAGGACAGTGGATAGGAGAGAAGATGAGAGAGGTTTAGAGAGACCAGAAGCATTTGCTTCACATCAGTATTTCAGTTCCCTTTTTTTCTTCTTCCTAGGGCAAATATATTCAGCCCTGGTAGTTTGTGGTCCGGCTCAGTGCTGCGCTTTGCTTGCAGGGAGTGATTTTTAAGTCGCTGGATATTCCACAGGCAGGCCTGAGTTTGTGGGGTCACTAAAGGGCAGGGCTGCGCGTATAGCCTGGCAAAGGCACCTTTAGAGGTGCCCTCTTTATTAAATACATAAAAAGGGTAGGTGCTGAAGTGCACGGCGCTCGCGCCGAGGTAATTTACCAATAAGGATGAAAATCAAAGGAATCTATCATGTGCATTTCAGTGAGCCGGAGCCAAACACGCAGCCCGATCAGCGCTTTGAGGTGTGCAAAGCGGAGCGCTCGCCTCGGCCTCGGAACAAATTGCCCTTTATAATTGCCCAAAGTAGAGGTAATTTGTAAGCTTGCTTTCCCCGCCGCTCCGTGGCAGTAATCCAGGAAGGGCTCGCAAATGTGCGAGCGAGCGTTCGGCAAGACATCCCACGTATTGATCTGCCGTGCCGGCTCGGCGCGTCCGGGCGGAGGGAAGAGCTTCTGCTTTGGCCCGGAGCTGGAGGCTGCGGGTGGAGAAGGAGCCCGGGAAGAGCCGCGCTGAGGTGCCGTTTGGGGAGGTGCCGCCCGCGCCGCGGAGCCGCAGCGGGCCGGGGAGCAGCGGGATGCAGGGGCGAGCGCGGAGCGGCCGGGGCACCGCCGCCTGCCGAGGCAGGTAGGAGGCG